ACTTTTATTGATCCTATTATTGCTGTTCGATAAGTAGATATATATATATATATATATATATATAGATCACTCACTAATTTTTGAATTACTGATCCAGTCCAGGAAATAATTGCATAATTTGTTTATAAAACGCTTTGAACTTATCATTATTTCCCTTTTCCGCGGTCCATGCGGATACAGCCTCATCAGTAATAATGCCAGCCGTCACGAGTTCCATCACAAAATCCGGAGCGATGTCACGCATGAAAGACCTCTGCTTCACTCCCGCAATACAGTCCAAGATGCGAATGGGGTCCCTCAGCTCTGCATCATTCGAGCGCTCCCGGCTCCATGCCGAGACTAAACTAGACCACACTTCAATGAAGTCTTCATCCCACTCCACATTAACGTAATTGAAAGCCGTGAGAAGCACGTCGAGATAGTTCGCAGTGCGTGCCATGACATCTCGCACGACTACAAGGAAGTCTAGAGACGGAGTGGCCAAGACCGCCGCGATGAAACGAGAAAAGACGAGTGGCACATCCTCCTTGTAGCTTTCCACAATTGCATCCGCGAGGAACCACGAGTAGCCCCTCGACACTACAGGAGCAAATATGCTATTTTGAAGCGACGTGGAGAAAAGCTTGCGGTCATCCTCAATGTTGCTGAGCGTGACCTTTTTCGTGATCGCGAATACGGCACACGTGATGCTTACGAGCTTGCCCTCGTTCGGCATGAGCTCCCGGAGGGCATTCTCAGCATATGGCCAGTCGTCGCCAACGGTAGCATCTCGTATTATGCTACAGATCTGCGCCTCCACTTCAGGGGTGAGGCTCTTCGGAGGCTGCGCCAATACAAGAAGCTTTTTGTCCTCCTCGCTCATCGAAGTCGCTTCGGTTTCTGGTAATACCCCCGATCCCGGTGGAGGTAGCCACGATTGGAAAAAGGGCCCGCTATTGGTGCCATCATTGAACTGCCCAAGATCAACGTAGCTGTTGCCGCGCTCTTGGGATCGTGCCTGTTGGTAATGCTGATGTTGGTGTTGGTAGTTATTGATGCTTACCACTCGGTGCATCGGCTTTGAGTGTTGGCTTTCATTATGAGTGTTAGGATTATTGCTGCCCGACTGAGTGTCTGTATTGGCGCTGGATGAGACCAAAGGCGTCACATCCTTTGGCTTCCACCCCGACTTTCGCCAGTCTAAAAGGTTCTGAACCAAGAAGCGAATGCGTCTCGGGAAGCCAGAATCGTCCGCGTACTTTTGGAATGCACCCCACACTACGTCGCCGTAGGTGTTCTTCGGCATTTCGTCAAATTTCCTTCCTATTACATAGAAAAGATTGTACGCTATTTCTAAATCCACGTCGGACACGTTTGTCTTGGTGACTCCTGGTTCAATACCGAGAGCTAATGCATAAGATGCGATACTCATGATGACACGCGTAGTCATAAGCGATTTTACATAAAGCTCGCCGATAAACTTGATGTTGGCCATGTTTTGCTTCCGAAGTTGCTCCGCCGTCTCGGGGTCTTTCGGTGAAACCTGAGTTCGGAACTCATCATAAATCTTTTGACAATGGGATACCAGAACAAAGCGCACGAAGTCACCCACGGGTGGCATGTAAGAATCCCTCATGAGTTGCTTCTGAGCAGCTTCAAGCCGCTGGAGAATGCGCGGATTACTTTTGCTTTCATTAACGAGCTCCCGCTCATAGTTGGCGATGCGCGCACAAAGACGTGCATAGAGTGCGGAGAAGACCGGCTCTGAAACGGCCTTGTTGAAAACAATCTTCACAACACCAGGAAGCACGGCTGCATTACAGATGAGATCGTGTGAGAGCATCTCTTGACTTACCACATCGAAGTTCTGCTCCGTCAGCTTGTTGAGCGCGCTTTGGACACGACGTAGCTCAAGCTCAGACTCGTCCATCTCAGTTTTATCACGCACACGAAATCCGTTGTCGGACATTACCAACTTTGGCACCTCAGTCTTCTTTTGTTTTTCCATCCTAGCAGAGCAAAGCATTCGATCGACCGAAAAGCCCTTATGCGGCGCATCAGTCCATGTATCGCGAAATGCAAGGATTTGCGCCACCGACATTTGATTCTTGGGGCGTTCCTCCTTCTGAGGAGCAGCGGCGCGTACTTTGAAAAGCATGTCTTTATGGATTTGTTGCAAATATGTTAGACACCGATTATATACGTATATATATATACCGCTTTGAGTGGCTTCTTGAGAGATTAAATGTTTGTAATTCAATAAGCCTGCGCAACGATAAAAAAAAACTTCCCAACCGTGCTAGAGGTGGGTGTAAATATGTATATCTAAACCCTAATAAACCTATCCCCACACCCCACAGGCAAGAAGAAAAAAACGAGAAGCATATTTCGAGTGCAGCGTCCTAGTCCTCAGACACATTGGCTATACACTCAAACATAAAAACTGCTGTGGCGGCGTAAGTTTCACTCGTAAAACTCTCTATCATTATGTTATAGCAGAAATAGACTACCAGATACTTTGAGAGAAATTGCAGACGCAAATTTACCCGATGGTTCTCTCACTTGGAGCTACAAGTAAGGTAAGCTTTTCCAAAGCCATCACAGCCATGCGCGAAGCCCGCCGACTGCGCAATATCACCTCCTGCTGGCTCTCCAGCACATCAACGAAGTCAGTGGCATTAGTGAGCGCCTCCTTATAATGGCAGAGGTGAACCCGTTGCTGACGCGACAGTAGCACCGCGGCTGGTGTTGGGAAGGAGAGATAGCGCTCGGACGCGTACCCAACTTCGACCGCGCCGCACACACCATCAAGAGACCCTTTTAGAGCTAAACGTGGTACCCAAGCAGACCGAGTGGGCACCTGAAACTGTTCAATTTCGCCCTGAAGTTGCTCAAAGAGATTTGCCGTCAAGCGGTCCACGCAATCAGCCAGACGCTGTCCGCGCCGGGCTTGTTTAGAGTGAACGGAATCCGTGGACGTCTTCTCTTGATTATTTACGACCCTGACTGTCGTCGTTTACTTGCTTCGTCGAGGAAGATACGGTACAAACAGATAGCAGTCATACTGAGGTAAAATATATTAAAATGTATTAAAAATAAAGTGGATGGAAGAGAGGAAGACGTTGGAAAGATCACATATGCAATTAAAGAAACTCGCTTCATAGTCTTCTTTCTAACCAGGTGCGTCAAAATACGACTGGGCACTTCTAAAACAATATGAAGAACATGTCTCCCTAATAGCAAGCAAACCGAAGAACACAAAAAACGAATGACGAGCACTCATCGACAAAAGTATAGGAAACGTAATACGCACAATAAAAGGTCATCAGCGTACGTCACCCAGGTATTTTGTCCGGTGAAATAGAATCAAGTCAGAATTTGAATAATAGAACGCGCAAAAGAAACGCGTCGATGAATTTACGATGATAAGCTTGTATATACTTGTGTACAAGGAAAGAGGAAGAAGATCACAAACTATGGCTAAGCAGAGTCATTAACTAACACTTCTACATTATATATATATATATAGATATATTGTTGTTCTCCCCTCCCCCTGCAACGAATACAGCATGAGGGCTGATCTGATGCTAATTGAAGGGATCCGGATTTAATTAAGTATGCCTGTCCTTTGCACTCGCACCCGTGTTTTCTCCCTCTTTACACCCTATGACCTCTGGCGACGATTTCCCAGTACTCATTGGCATATTTGTTGAGTTCTGACGTCTTGAACTTGACGCGATGTGCACGGTCCAAAAGCTCGCTGCAATTCTTATTATTCTGTAGTGATTTCAGGGCCGGCAACAGCTCCTCAAAGGGCAGCGCAAGCAGCCGCTTTTCCTCCCATTTCATCAAGGCAATACTGGTGCGAAACACAATCTTCCAGCCTTCGCTGAAGAAAACGTCCCAGATGCGAAGCAAGGCATGGAAAGGGAAATGATAAACGAAGAGAGTCAGAAACCACTGCGACGCGTAAAAGGACGGATCCACCCCGAGCTTCTCAAACCGTTCGTGTAACTTGGGAAGCAAATGAGCAAGAAGCTTTTTCAACTGGTAGAAAAACTGCTTCAGCATGGGAAAACCAGGCCTGAAAAGCTCTCGCATCTTGTACCGCTCGTGGTACATCATCTCGTGGAGAGCCCAGAACGACCTCTCCTCATCCATCTGTGTGGCTAGCGCGCCCACAAGGAAAGCCATCCCCTGGGTATAACCCACCTCCGGATCACAAGCTGCGTAGGCATGGAGAACGTTCCGCAGAAACACCTGCCCGGCACCACCCTCCTCCTGAAACAAGACATTGTTGGGAAACGTACGCGCGAGGTCGCGCTCAATGACAAGGTCTACCTCTTTATCCTTAAGTGTTTTGTTGCATAGCATAATGTAAACTCCAGCGTTATCTGGAGACTTCATGATCGCATGTGATCCGATGAGCAGCTGCCATGAAATCCCACGCAACTTTGCCGGAATCCCCTTACGGCACCGCTCTTTGAGTTTGTTGCGCATCTTGTTGTAGGTGTAATCCCAGTCCGCAGTCATGTTTGCCCACTTATCCTCCAACCCGAGCACTTTACTGTTATCATTCTTTTTCCGGTAAAGTTGATCCATCGCCTGTGCCTCCTCGTCAAGCAAAAATCCAAACTCGTCCACAAGGCGCTGATTGGACTCAGACCCCACCGAATCCTCGGTGCTTTGACAAGTAATTCGGCTGCTAACCGAGTTCCATTTGATAGAGCTCTGCGTAGGATTGTGGTCTCCCGCCGGAGTGTGTAGGCCGGAGGCGTTGCTATTATCCGTATCCGAATCGCTTCCACCAGTGGATGCAACACCAAATGGAGTTTGTTTAACCAGCACAGAGGCTTCCAGTGAACCTGACATATATATGAGATCGGAGGTGGATTGCTCAGCCCGGATGGAAAGTTTCTCAAGCGGACTTTGTTTTCGCATACTATTAGTGATCGAGGGATGCGTGGCTTCTCCCTCGCTGTTAGGCTGCATTTCATGAGATCCGCCGCTGCCTTCATGCCCTCTGCCACGAGCCGGCTTCTGTTTGTCCACGAGACCTGGTGCTGATAAGACGCCCAAAAGATTCGTGCGTGGGGATCGGCCGCTGGTACCACCGTAGGCCTCAACGTCTGCATGGACGCATCGCTGACTAATTGACTGCAGCACCGAAGTTGGCAACGATATGACATTTCGCGTGTCTACGTTACTCAGGGGCGTCTCCTCCTCTTCCTCAGCGTCCTTGAAAATACTGCTCTCATTCATGATGGACAAAGTAATGGAACCGCTCAAAGCCAGTCTAATTTCCAAGCTGATAATAAGTGTATTTGCGTTCTTTTAAAAGAGAGACAAAAGCATGTATTCAAGGTATGCACGAGGGCATAAAAAGAAAACTATAAAATGAATAAAAAGTAAACGGACGGGCGAAAAGGCTCTTTTAAAGTGTCATGGAGTAAAGGTGGTGATTTCAATCTGAGACCGACTAAGGAATTGATTGCAGGTTTGCTGCTTAGTGTCTAGTGATGGTGGGCAGTTATGACTTTACAAATATTCAATGTCATATGCAATCTCGCTATATTGCTTTATATGTGTGTCGTCACGAAATCCCCAGCGGGGCCCACGCCCTGCCTTTATTTCCGACCATGCATTGATTTCCAGATCCTTGTGCTACGTAAGTGAACATGGGCTTTATCTGACAAGAAATGATGGATAGCTTGGCATCAAGCATTCAGTGTACCGCAATGCCAGGGGAAAAAATAATTCCACAACGAAAGACCTCAGTAATGCCTCCCTATCTCTGCTGTTAAAAAGAAAGGTAAATAATGTTGCACTAAAAAATGCGTCAGCAGGTCGGCACGTGATCCACCCTTTCTAGAGAAAAAAATGACAAGCCAATGTTTAGCTTTTCGTCCTTTCGAAGGGATAACTCAAAAGCAAAATAAGGCATCACCCACTCTCCGGATCTAGTGCATGTGGCGTAAGCGGCCTTCCCTGAGAAAAAGAGAAAGCATCAAAGAAAGCCTGCACTGCCAAAAGCGATGCACGAGACAGAAAACGAAAGAGCGCCACTCAGACTAGGAAAGATAAATGACATCTCACTTTGGATTCGATTGCACCAAGGCAGGGAGGGGCGAGGGGGGAGTGGGTGGAGTATTGGCCTATAACAATCGAATGTTGCACGAAGGATTCTGATTAACAACACCCATGCAACTCATGATGGATTCAGCAAGACATTTTCATGCTATAATAAAGGGTATATCAGATTAAGAAAAAGTTGAGATCGTTGGGATAGTGCCATGGCCAAGAGTGGTACTCGTGCTGTGTGCACAAGTAAAAAAAGTGTATCATCTTGATTCGCCAAATTGACACCAATCGTATCGCGAGCCTAAATCACACAACATATCTCAACGTAAGGGAAAAACATCGAAAAAACGATGCTCCTTGATATCAGGCAAGCATAGATGAGGTGACGAAATCTGCACATATTGAGGTAAATGAGACGATAATAGATAATTAGAAAAGGTAAAGGACAAAATGGGCAAGCATGTGACAATACATCGCTAAGCTCTGAAGCTATATCTGGACATCATATGAAGTGGTCAAACTCGATTTAACCCCAACATGTTTGTGTAAAGTGGTGTGTGTTTTATTTTCTTTTGCTGGTTACAAAAAGATGGAGAAATATACGAAACAAAATATTTGAAAGTTGACAAGACCCCTAGCTAAACTGGCAACAAAAAAATAATAAATTAACCATCAAAGTCATGCTTTTCTTTCCTAATACCTGCTGCATTTCACGTATTGACATCCCCACTACTGCTACCTGTGGCAAAGTCGCAAATGATGAAATCAGTATTTACTGATTTCGAAACTTTCGAATGTATCGGTGGATTTTCTTCGTTTGAAATTTAATTGACAGGGCGTTTTTCAACAGCTCATCCGGATTTTTCTCCTCCTGAATCGTTCCCAGTACCATCAGAGCGTCCGAGTCAGAGCGTTGCGCAAGCAATTGCTTCTTTTCCATCGACAGCAAAGCGAGAGCAATACGGTAGATTGGCTTCCAACCTTCGCACAAGAACATATCCCAGATTCTTGAAATCAGTCTAAAGTTGAATTGATAGGTAAAAACTGACAGGAACCAATGGGTAGCGAAGTGAATGCCTTCAATATTGAGCTTCTTCAGGTGCTTGAATACCTTTTTATTGTGTCCGTTTAGAAGCTTATCCAGAACATAAAAGCAACAATGAAGCTGTGGAAACCCTGGTTCGTAGAGGCTCTCCATCTGATAAGGTGGGCGCTCCATTAAGGCGCAAAAAGCCCAGAATGTGCTCTCCTCATCATTTATTTGCAATAGAAGGGTCGCTACAAGAAAGTTCATTCCTTGACAGTACCCAACTAGCGTGTTATAATTTGCGTAGGCGTGGAGAATGTTACGGAGCACATCCCTTCCATTATTTGCCCCATTGTTCTCAAACATAATTTGTGTCGGAAAGGTCCTACCCAGGTCTCGTTCAATGGTACCAGAAATTCCTTTTGATGCCAAAGGCTTAGACTTTAGATTGGCATAGACCCCTCGTTTCCCCGGGGTGCTCTGCGTGTTAAGGGTGCCGAGAAGAAGCTGCCACACTTTACCCCGGATAGCCTGCGGAATGCCGGCTCGACAGTACTTTTTCTTTGTCCTCAAAGAGACTCGATCCCAGTGGTTCAAGATATCCATCCAACGCTCAGAGAAATGCTGCGACGGTGCGTGTAGCCTTTTGTAATTACTCTCCGCCAGCTTCTCATGTGAGGTGACGCGGAATCCATAATCATCGTAACAATCTAAAGTGCACCCACTGCTATTGGCTGAATAAAGCTGATGGATATTTTCTGCGCTGCTGCACGATGGTCCGCCATCACCAATGGAAACGCGCCTTCTTCGTCCTGTGGTAGAATCCAGCAGCGGGGCATCCAAAGTGTTCGAAAAAGAAGCCTCCATCAAATCACCCCGCCCCTTCAATTGCCACTTTCTGCGTTTTGATGAAGTCTGGGACGTCTGCATTGTCTAATTTGAGCTGATAACACCTAATTTATTCCCTTGCCTTACAGAAACTACAAAATTAATATGCACTATATAGGCTGTATATATTTATGTATGCAAATGGTTTGCCACGCATATTTTACTGTCGTAGAAACCTATGCATGCAACAAATTAATTGTAAGCAATCGCGAGTCATACCATAAGAAAATATACCCAAAAAGTTAGAAACACAAATATAAGAAGGGGAGAAGGAATTCAATGGTGGAAAAGGGTAAAAAGTGCAGAAGAAATGCGTGTAAAGAGAAAACACACATTGCTGTGCCATGTGCCTTGGAGCCTTTACGCCAATCGCTTCACATTTGATGGGCCCCTCGCTAAGAAAATTCTTATTAGGATCGGCAAAAAAGGTGCTCATTAGTGAATCCAATTTTAACAAATCTAGGATATTTACACAAACATAGGGGAGATCGCGTCAGCTATTTAGGTTGCATTCTTCTTCCTATTCATACCCACATTAATATATGAATAAGAAACCAAATTCGGACAAGGAGTTTAGTGCTTGTTTAGACGTTTCTTCGATTGAGGGTGTGTTCATTAATGTGAATACGGCACATTTGGTCAAGTTCCAAGTGGCCCATTGTGTGGGAAAACCTCGATAGCATTGCTGCTAACACAAGAAGTACATACACGAGCGCAAATGCTGATGGATTTGTCATTGGATTTGAAAAATTCTTCATCCATTCAGCTCTTCGATAGGAGATACTGTAAAGGATATTGAAAAGAAGCAGGCAGTCGCATCTCCCTTATACAATCATTCAGATAAGCTACTGTCATATTTTTATTCCCACTTCCTCACAGCACCTATTTCCGATGTGACCGCTCCAAAGCACCACAAAATAAAACGGATAATTCATATTTGTGAGTTGGCTGCGATTTTGAAACCCAACATATCCCGCACGTGACCAGAAAAAATCTCATACTCTCGTTTAATCCTATCGCGCTGGGTCTTCAATAAATTCTTGATGATCCCCTTGGAGACGTGTCCCTCACTCACCAACCAGGGGGCGGTGTGGCGTACGATGTTGAATTCCGGATTTAAACTCATCAGGAACGACTCTAATACTAAAACAGAGAAAAGCAACGACACATACGGGGGATCCATCTGGACACGGTTAGAGCGAATACTATCGAACACGGATTGTAAAGTTTTTGTGATTGCACCTCCGTCATTCCGAAAGCCGCGGCAATACTTGAAAACTTGATCGATGTCAGCCTTAAAGCGATCACGACTAGCGTATTCTTGGCGTTCTGACATATTCCAGAGACTAGCTGCGCACATTTCAGAGTTCCACCGCACGAACGCCTCTATAAGATTTTCCGATATGGCCGCCTCATGCTCCGTCAGCTGCTGGCAAAGCCCGACGTCGATAAGGGTTATACTCGGTTCATGATAATTCTCACACTGGATGAGTATGTTGCCTGGGTGCATATCTCCATGGATGAAGTTATCGCGCAGGAGCATCTTGCACCAGGTGTTGAGGCCTTTACCCGCAAGCACGTCGCGGGCATGCGGGGGAAGCGACGCCATAAAATCCGGATCAGCAGGCACACCTTCGCAAAACGTCTCTACGAGCATCCGTTGCGTCGACATGAGTGGCTCTGGGAACTCAACATAGCGCTCATTGCGAAAATTGGAGCGAAATTGCACCAAGTTATCGGCCTCGATACGGAAGTCGAGCTGAGCCGCAAGGTGGTTTGCGAAGTTGTGAGCTAACTCCGGAGTGTTGTAGTGTTCTACAAATGACAAGTAGCGGTGCATCAGGGCTGCTATGTGATTCAAAATAACAAAATCGCGGACAATTGTCTCTATGATGTTTGGATGCATCACTTTAACGACGACACGAGTGTCCTTATTCTTGAGCTTCGCGAGGTGAACCTGCCCAATAGAGCCTGATCCAAGAGTTTTGTCATCAATAAAATCAAAGACATTCGAAGGATCGGTGCCGAGTTCTTCCTCTAGAATCTTAAGTGTCTCAGAAAAGGGGTGCAGATCGACCTCATTGTATAAGCGCTTGAAGATCTGACGGAAATCTCGAGAAAAGAGATCCTCCCGGGTGCAAGCCCACTGGCCTATTTTCACGAAGACCGGACCACCATGTTGAACACCCCGGAGTAGTAGGTTAATCCACACCTTATACCAACTATCGCGTAACGACATGAAAATGTAGAGAATCGCCAGGGGAACAAAAATGAGGCTAAGATATGCTACACGGCAGCAAATGGAAAAGGCATTAGGACGCATAACTATCTTGCCCTCCAAAATCAAGTTGCCTCTATGGTCTACTAATGACTTGAAAACGTGTCTGGCAGGCTTTGTTTGTTGTCGGTACTTCACGTACATCCCCAAGCCCCCGACCCCCATGATAGGCACACCCACCACCACTGTGGCGACCCAACCCATCCGTGAGATAAAGAATTTCATCAAGATGCAGTCTAGCAGTGGCAACCCAAGGAAACGTCAGCTAGTATATATATATATATATATATATATATAT